ACCGGAGAAAAACAAAAAAAAAAAAAAAAAAAAAAAAAAGTTCCTAAAAGTAAAAGGTTGGATCATAGTTGTGTTTGTTTTAAACTTTTATGTAACTGAAAAGTTTGTAAGAATTTCTAGTCCTTAAAAAGAGATGAAGGGGCCAGGGATATACTCAGTGGCACAGAGCCTGCCTGGCAAGCACAGAGTTGCGAGTTCAATTTCCGGTATCAAAACCAAAACCAAACAAACAAAAAAAGAGATGAGTCTTCCTATAACAGCTTTTCTTTTCTTTTTTTTCAGTCAGGTTTTCTTAGTCTCACCACTACTGACATTTTGACCGGGTAACTTTGCTTGTTGGAGGCTTTGTTGTGCATTGTAGGTATTTCTAGTAAACCTGGCCTCTACCCACTAAATGCCAATAACCCTGTCCCACAGTTGTGACAACTGAAAATGTTTCTAGATGCTGCAAATGCCTTCTGTGGATAAGAATCGCTGTTAGTTGAGAACCATGACCCTAGGTATTTGACCACACTGTGTGCCCTAATGATCCGTTGGCATAAACAAGTAAATGACCACTCTGGAGAAAGTATTCTTAGTTAGTTCTGATTGAAAGTCTGGGTTCCCTGAAAATGAAAGGGATACCTGTTTCTGGGTCTTTTGTCTGTTACATCAAGATTTGTTTTGAGGTGTGGTGGTACACCTGTATTTTCAGCACTCAAGGAAGCTGAGGCAGGAGGATTGTGAAGTTGGAGCCCAGCCCGGGCAATTTAGCAACTTATCAAGACCCTGTCTTAAAATAAAATATAAAAAAAGCTGGGGATATAGCTGAGTGCAGACCCCTTGTGTTCAATCTCCAGTACTGGGGGAGGGGCACTAGTTTATTTAGAAAATATTCCTTGAATGTCTTCTGTGTAACAAGTGCTGTGATTTGTATTGCTGTACTTAGCTGAATTGCCTATTGAGGAAGACTGGTAAGAAAACAACCCTAACTGATTATGCTGGCACACAGCTTCATCCCAGCTCTGCAGAGGCTGATGCAGGAGGTTGAGGGGTTGGAAATGGAGTTCAGTGGTAAAGCATTGAGAGGGAAAGTGGGGTGAGAGAGGAGAGGGAAACTCCAGTCCTGTAGGTCAAGTGTTACAGGTACAGTTTACACAGAATGCTAAGGAAATCGTAAGAAACATAGCCAATGTGCTCAGATTAGGGACCGCTTCTTGGAGGTGTTGCTTAAAGAATGGGCAGGAGCAAACAAGTACAATGGGTCAGGGAGGATAAAGATTGACTTGAGAAGAGTATCACAGTACAGAGGAGCAGACATTGTGGTCAAAATAGTCCATTGAACTTTGAAACACAGTGAGAGGTAGAAATGTCCAAACTGGGGTACCTGAGGAACCTTTTATGCCCTCCTAAACGTTTATGTTTTGAGTGCAAACAGTGGCACATTCTTGTAATCTCAGCACTGAGAGGCTGAGGCAAGATGATGTGAAGCCGGCTTAGGCTACTCAGTAAGACCCTGTCTCAAAAAAAAGTTTAGGTTTTCTTTCTGGTTCTGAGACTCAAACTCAGGACTTCATGCTTGCCCAGCAGGCGCTGTGCCACTGAGCTATGTCCTTGGCCCTAAGTTTCTTTCTTTTTTTTTTTTGAGACAGATTTTCATTTTAGAATGAGGGCTGGTGACAGTGTCCTGAGAGGAGGAGTAAAAGGGCAAGAGGCCAGCATGGAGGCTTTTGCTGTAATCCAGTATAGGGATGATGAGAGCCTAAACTGATATATTGGCAGGAGGAATGGAAAAGTAATTGGATTTTGGAGATAATTTAGGAAGTAGAATAAGTAGGAATTGGTGTTGAGTAACCAGATTGATAACAGTGCCTTTTATATGATGAAAGGAAATTGAGGTGGAGAAGGTAATATAGCCTGTTGACTTGAAGCCAATTAAAATCAGAGGAGACATCCAGATAAAGAATAATGAGCTGGGCCTGATGGCACACACCTGTAATCCCAGCACTTGGGAGACTGAGGCAGGAGATTTGGTGCAAGTTCCAGGCCAGCCTGGGCTAAATAGTGAGTTCATGGCTAGCCTGAACTACATAGTGAGACCCTGTCTTTTTTTAATCATTAGAGGCAAACTCGACTGTTTTTTATTCCCCCTTCAGTATATCCACAATGCCCAGCAAAATTTTGAGCATATAGTCAATAAATGTTTGTTGAATTGAGCCCTACTTTAAGGTTAGGAAGAGGTGACTTAGGTAAGACAAACAATATACTTCATCTCTTGTATTTTAGCCAGTTCACAAGAAGTGAAAAGAGACAGGAGGAAACTCAGGATTTACCTTTTTATTTGCTTTTTTTTGGTACCAGAAATAGAACTCAGGACCTTGCGCTTGCCCAGCCCTGAAACTGAGAATTTGAAAGATGTACCTTAGAGTAGAGTGATGGGAAGACTGTCCTACTTATTAGTTCTTGCTTCTGGTTTCTCTTGGTGTGAATTGCTTCCTTTTCTCCCTGTTGAGGAGTGCCAGACTTGCTGAGAGGCAGTATTATGTGGGCGTATTCAGCATAGTTAAGATTAAGACTTGAGGCAGACTGCACATTTGTTTATTTTGCAGTTCTGGGGGTTGAACTAGAAAAGTACAACCCCTGAGTTGTACCCTGAACCCGAACTGTACAAGTTTAAATATGGGTTCTCATACTAACTAGTTGTATGACCTTGGACAAGTTGCCTACTCACTCTGCTTTAGTTTCTTCATCTATAAAAGGAGAGGAATAATAGAACCTTCAAATAGGTGAAGATGGAATACATTAATATATATTAAAAACTTACAACAGTTTAAGTTGTTTGGCACATTCTCATTCTGTACTTATTTGTTTGTTTGTTTACTTATTTAGCTGTACTGGGGATTGAACCTAAGGCCTTTGTGTGGAGCTATAGCTCCAGCCTTTTTTTACATTTTATTTTGAGACAGGGTCTCACTAGGTTGGTAAATTGCCCAGGCTGGGCTGGAACTTGTGATCTTCCTTTCTCAGCCACCTCACTCAGTGCATTTTAGGTCTTCCATCTAGTTAAAAAATGTCCTCTATTTAATGTTTGCGTGCACTTGCCTGTTCTGGCTTCATTAATCTCTCTTTTTTCATCCTAACTCCTGCAGCAGCTGGGCTTACACCCTGCCACCACTGCCCTGTCTCTTCTGCTTTATTACAAGAGTTCACCTTCAGGCACACTGCCCAGTCTGCTTTCTCTTCTATCTCTGAGGCTGAGTCAGTAGCAGAGGCAGATACCCTTGTGTAGGACATAAAGCCCTCCATCCAGCTTTTTTCTAGATGAACATGAAATTGAGTTTGAATTTAATCAAGTAGAGGGTTCAGACAATTGATGTCATTGATTTCTCTTGAATTAAGCTAAAAAGCTGGATCTAGACACATTTAAGAATATATATATATACACAGAGAGAGAGAGAGAGAGTGTGTGTTTTATTGTTCTTTTACCAAAATGAAATTACTCCATAATTTTATTTTATTTTTTTCATTTGACAGTATCTCATGTTTTCTGCAAGTTAGTATATGTACGTCTTAATCTGTTTTTGCTAAGAGGGATTTTTTTTTGTTGTTTGTTTGTTTTTTGTTTTTTTTTCTGGTACCAGGAATTGAACTCACAACCGTGTGCTTGCCAGGCAGGCGCTGTGCAAATTCCCAGCCCTACCAGGAGGGATTTTTGTGAGGCTGGGTCTTACTCTTAGTCCAGGCTGGCCATGAAATCACTGAATAGCCTAGGCTTGTCTTGTTTTTGGTTGTTGTTTTTTTTTTTTTGGTACCGGGAATCGAACCCAGGACCTTTCGCTTGCCAGACAGGCACTTCCTAGGCTTGTCTTGAACTCGATCCTTCTGTTGAGTATTGGGATTATAGGCATGTGCTACTGTGCCTGACTCTCGGTCTATTTTTATCTGGCTTATTTATGTACATACAATTTATATATAAAGGAGGGTTTTTTTTAAAGTACAGGGGTTTTTGCTTGTTGTACTCTTCCGTGTGTGTGTGTGTGTGTGTGTGTGTGTGTGTGTGTGTGTGTATGTGTGTGTATGTATTTGGGGGGTACTGGGGATTGAACCCAGGGCCTTAACATCAAGTTATATCCCAAACCCTCCCTTTTTTTTTTAATCTTTACCCTTTAAAAATTGTTTTTGCTGGGTGTGGTGGTCCCAGCACTTGGGAGGCTGAGGCAGGAGAATCACCTAAAGTCCAAGGCCAGCCTGGACTGCATTGTAAGACCCTGTCTCAAAAAAAAACAACAAAAAAAATTTTTTTTTTTTAATCTTGAGACAGGGTCTCAGTAAATTGCTCAGGCTGGGCTCAAATTCTGCCTCAGCTTCTCAAAGTGTGGCAATCATAGACATACTACCACACTTGACTTTTTAAATGAAGAACAGTCCCTTAAAGCAGACATGGTGGTGCCTACCTGCAATCCCAGCACTCAGGAAGCTGAGGCAGGAGGATTGCTGTGAGTTCAAGACCAGCCTGAACTACATAGTGAGAGCTTGTCTCAAAAGCAAAACAAATTTCATTCATTCGTTTTGAGACAGGGTCTCACCATGTTGCCCAGGCTGCTCTTGGATTCCTAAGCCCAAGGACCCTCTTGTCACAGCCTCTTGAGCTGCTGGGACCATAGATGTGTGACACAACAGCAGTTTACTGATTGGCCTTCTGTTGCTACAGTTCCCTAGAATTTTATATAAATGTCTTCTATACTGTTTTTTGGTTCTTTTTCCTTTTTTTTGAGATAGGGACTCACTATATAGTTCAGGATGGCCTTGAACTTGCTTCTGTAGCCCAGGCTGGCCTCAAACAGTGAACCCCCTGCCTCAGCCTCCTGAGTGCTGAGATTACAGGCATGCAGCACCATGCCCAGCTTCTATATTGTTTTTTAATTGAGATGCACTATTTGTACAAATTTATGGGGTAGAGTACAATAATTCCATACTTGTATACAATGTGAGCTGGGCATGGTAATGCACTCCTGTAATCCCAGCCTTCTAGGAGACTGAGGCAGGAGGATCACAAGTTTGAGGCCATCCTGGGGAACTTAGTGACTTAGTAGGATCCTGTCAAAAAAAATAAAGAGACTGAGGATGTACCTTAGTGAGAAGGTCCTGGGTTCAATCCCCAGTACTGCCCTCCCCCAAATGTATACAGTGTATAATGACCAAATCAGATATCTATCTCCTTAAATATTTATCATATCTATGTATTGGGAACCTTTAGACTCCTCTAGTTATTTTGAAATATTACTGTAGACTATAGTTAACCTATTGTGTTACAGAGCACCAGAACCAATTCTTAATTCTTCCTATCATGAAGTTTCCGTTTTTGTCTTTTTTTGTTGTTTTTGAGACAAGGTATTGCTATGCTGCTCAGGCTGGCCTGGAACTTGCAGCAATCCTTGTACCTCAGCCTCCTGACTGCTACGATTATTGGTGTGTGCACCCACTCCTAGTCCGCCCCCCCCCCCTTTTTTTTGTCTTTTTGAGACAGGGTCTCCCTGTGCAGTTCAGACTGGCCATGAGCTCACTTTGTAGCCCAGGTCCCAGCCCTTTAAAAAAAAAAAAATTAATTTTGTTTTTTGAGATAGGGTCTTGTTATGTATTCCAGGCTGGCCTTGAATTCACTTTGTAGCCCAAGGTGACCTTGACTTGTCACCAATTCTCCTGCCTTAGCCTCCGTTGAGCTGGGATGGTGGGTGTGTACCACCATGCCTGATCTTTTTTTTTTTTAATTTTTGGGTTTTGAGTTGGGTCTCACTAAATTACCTAGGCTGGGCTTGAGCTTGTAATCCTACTGCTTTAGCCTCTGAGAGTTTGGAGATCATAGGCTGTGCTACCAGGCCCAGGTTCACCCTTTCCTCTGTAAGTCACTTGGGTTAACATTTCTTACGCCACAGAAGAATACACACACAAATACACATACATGCAAGGTATAGTAGACTTTACAAAAATAGAGTCAGATTACATACTTAACCCTGCATTTTAGTTTTCTCACTCAGCCAGAGTTTATGAAATAGCTTCAGTCCATTATTAAAAATAACCTTAGAGCCAGGGATATAGCTCAGTGGTATAGCACCTACCTGGCAAGCGTGAGATCCTGAATTCGATTCCTGGTACCAAAAAAAAAAAACAAAAAACCAAAAATCTTTATTGAAGTAAAATATACATACCATAGAGTTCACAGGCTTAAAGTTTACAATTCAGTGAGTTTTGTAAATTTAGAATTTTGGGGTTTTTTTTGAGATAGGGTCTCAATATGTATCCTAGGCTTTATTCAACCTCTAGATCTTCTTTGTTCAACTTTTGAGTGCTGGGATTACAGGCATAGGCCACCATGCCTGGCAGATTTGGTTTTGTAACTATCATCATAACCCTATTCCGAATATCCCATCACCTCCAAACATTCCTTGGGTGTATTTGCTTTCAGTTTCTTGCTCACCTTATAACCATTGCTCTGGCTTCTACCGCTTTGTTTTGCCTCTTCTAGGAATTTTGTATAAATGCAGTTTTGAAATACTTAGTTTTTGTTGTTGTCTGAGACAGAATCTCATTATGTAGATCAGATTGACCCTGAACTTACTCTGTAGCCAGGCTTGCCTCAGACTCATAGCCACTCTCCTGCCTCAGGCTCCCAGTCATCACACTCAACTCAGTTAGCATATTTTTGAAGCTCATCCCTGTTGTTGCATTTTTAGTAGTTCTTTTTATCCCTGAATAGTACTCCCTTGTTTGAATAGACTACTCTTTTCTTTTTTCCATTTAGTTTCACATTTTATTCTCACCTCTTTGGGTAGAGAAAGGAAGGACTCACCAGAGACATACAGAGTCACACTGCTGTGTTGTCTTCAGACAGCACTGGGATGGACTTTCTTATTGTCTTCATTGAGGATGTGGATTGGAGTCAGAAGAGGCCAACCACTGCTGCTGGGTGGCTGTACTACTTTTGTGTATCCATTTATTACTTCCTTTAAGACAGATAGCTTTTAATGCCAGGTCTGGTGATGCACATCCATAACCCCAGTGCTCGGGAGGCTGAGGTAAGAGAATCACTGCAAGTTCAAAGCCACCCTGGGGTACATAATGAGTTCACGCCAGCCTGAACTTCAGAGTGAGACCCTGTCTCAAAAAAACAAAAAACACCTAGGCGCATATCTGTAACCCCAGCACTTGGGAGGCTGAGGCAGGTGGGTCACTGTGAGTTCCAGGCCAGCTCGGGCCACATAGTGAGTTCAAGGACAGCCCAAACTACATAGGGAGATGCTGTCTCAAAAAACAAAAACAAAAGACAGATGGCTTTTAGACTGCCTAATAAAGTCTTCGATCGCATCTTAAAATATTTCACATATGCTTTTAAGGACAATAATAGAAATGCCTTCATTCTTGGGGGACAGCTGAGAGCTCTTCCTTTTTTTTGCTTTTTGGTGTACCTGCTTGGAAACCTTGAAAGAATGTGATTTAAAAACCACCAATCAAAAAAAAAAAAAAAAAAAAAAAAAACCCCACCAATCTAAAGCATACTGTAGAACTTTTCTTCCCTATTTCAAGAAAATATATGTAAATGTTGTACCCAGATGAGAAAAAATAAAGAAAAAGACATTGTGAAAAACCAGAATGCATGATAGAGTTAAAAATATAGGGAATGATAATATTAGCATCTGAGGGCATATAGTTTGGCTTTACTGCCCGGATTTTAGGGGGAATGGGTTAGGATTTTATGCCTACTTGGTAGAATGGTGTCTAATTTACTGAGTTTTATATTTTACCTTTTTAGTTCATTTTTTTTGTTTGTTTCCTTTTTTTTGTCCTTAGGCAATTATTATAGTTTACGTTCTCAGCATGAGAAAGCAGCCTTATATTTCCAGAGAGCCCTGAAGTTGAATCCTCGGTATCTGGGGGCCTGGACACTGATGGGGCATGAGTATATGGAAATGAAGAACACCTCTGCTGCCATCCAAGCTTATCGGTGAGCGTGCGGCTGGATGGTGGGGTGGGACACACTGCTGTGATGTCGGGAGCATCTGTTGAGCCTGCAAGGGGCTATTCTTGATCCTGCCCTGTTACCAGTCTGTCTTTTCCATTTCCTAGACATGCCATAGAAGTCAACAAGCGGGACTACAGAGCTTGGTACGGCCTCGGGCAGACCTATGAAATCCTTAAGATGCCATTTTACTGCCTTTATTATTACAGACGGGCCCACCAGCTCCGGTAAGTCCATCACTTGGTAATATGCATGGTGTGGGAGGGGTGATATCACTTCTTTCTTTTTTTAGTTTTTTGGTTCTGGGTATGAAACCTGGAGCCTCCTGGCTTCTTTCTCTTTTGTTAGCTACTGTAAATTGCCATGAGTGGTTTTTGACTCTTAGAGACCTGAGCTGAAACTTGCTAAGTGGTATCTGGTTACTTTCATTTAGTGTCTTACTCTAGGGAGTTAATACTATACTTAAGAACACCTATAGTTATAAGTAATCTGAGTGTATGAAGCATTAGCTACTCTTTCAGTCTCTGTATAGATTTGAAGTGGCAGTGAAAGTGGTGGAGCTAGTTCCTCCATGGAAGGCTTCAGATAAATGAGCCGGGTGTGGTGGTGGACTCTTGTACAGGGAGATCAAGGCTGAGGCAGGAAGATCACTGCAAGTTCGAGGCCAGCCTGAACTGCATAGTGAGACCCTGTCTCAAGAAAACAAAAGAAAAAACAAACCACGAAACCTCAGATCATTTCTTTGCGGTGACAATCTGTTCCTCTTCTTTCTCAGGCCCAATGATTCTCGTATGCTGGTTGCTTTGGGAGAATGTTATGAGAAACTCAATCAACTAGTGGAAGCCAAAAAGGTACCTAAGATTGGGGTCTGGAGAATTTCCATGGAAATCTGTTTGGGTGAAGGTTGGGCTATATGTGTTCTAACTTTTTCTCTGTTCTGATCTATACGTATAGGAAGGTCTGAATAGTTATAGGTTCATAGGCTAAAAACAAAGGTGGGTTGAGATCACTGGTGGAAACATCACTATGTAGTGTAGGCTTACCAGAACTGGCCAGAACGGAACAAAACAAAACAAAAAACCTTGAGTTCTGCAAGTCTGAATTTCTAGGAGGCTTGCAAGACTTTATCCTTTATGCAATTCCTGTGGTTCATGGAACAGTGGTCAAATGACCAATGTATTTTTTTCCAACAGTGTTATTGGAGAGCTTATGCTGTGGGAGATGTGGAGAAAATGGCTCTGGTGAAGCTGGCAAAGTGAGTGAGAGGAAGGGAATGCTATTGATGTTTCTCTTGGCTTCTCCAAGCTGGAGGGTCCTGTTCTACAATCACCCATCCTTCTACTGTCATACATGGTTGTGGAGATACGGAAAGATGCACGAATGCTGGTCTGAGAATTTAGCCATCTTAACTCTAGAGAATGCCACTAATCTTTTAAGTGGGACTAGCTTTCCTTAGGGATCAAGAATTGAGAAAAAGAAATGAATGGGCAAGGGATGTATCACAGTGGTAGGGTACTTGCCCGGCATTTCAAGGTGCTATGTTTGATCCCTAGCACCACCATAAAAAAGAAAAAAGAAAGAAAAAGAAAAAATACAGCACTATGTTACTCTGCACTGAGTTGCAATCCCAGCCTTTCATATTTTATTTTGAAATAGGTCTTGCTCAGTTCAAAGGCAGGTTGCCTCAGCCTCCTGAGTAGTTAGGATTACATGTATGGGCCTCCTGGCAAGAAAATAAATTTTTCTGTTAGAGCAGTCTAGGAAAACTACTTTAGGTACTGATCTCCTTCAATAAGAGTCAAAAAGTTAGTAAATAAAAACAGTTCAGAAATGGTGGGCAAGAAGTTCTTGAATGCAATTTCATTCCTGCCAGTTCTTTTCTGAATTTATTTGTTTCTTTGTTGGTTGGTTGATTGTTTAATTGATTGAGACAAGGTCTTGCTGTGTAGTTCAGGCTGATAGACAGTCATCCTGCCACTGAGCTACACTCCTATTCTAAACTCTGCAGCAGCAACTGTAACATCTGGTGGGTACTAATACTCTTTTAAGTCCCATTGTATCATTTACGTCAAAATTTGTACTTGTCTATTTTCAGTTCTTTTAGACTTAATGTGGTTGTACTTTTTCACCACTTAACTTGCTTTGAAGTTTGATTTGTATTTAATGCCCAATTTCTTTTGTAGGCTTCATGAGCAATTGACTGAATCAGAACAGGCTGCCCAGTGTTACATCAAATATATCCAGGATATCTATTCCTGTGGGGTATGAGGCTTGGTCTTGTTCTTATTGGTCTTATTTTTATGGAGACCTTATTTTTTTTTTGGCAGTCTTACTCTTACCATCTCAGTCATTCCTGTTTTCCTTATTTAGGAAATAGTGGAACACTTGGAGGAAAGCACAGCTTTTCGCTATCTGGCCCAGTACTATTTTAAGTGCAAGCTGTGGGATGAAGCTTCAACTTGTGCCCAAAAGTGTTGTGCATTCAATGATGTAAGTATCACTTCTTTAATAAAGGGCTTGGATTTTAGGCTAGAATATATGTTGTTGTCCATCTTGTGTAGGGGGAAGGTAGATAAGAATGTCAGTGGGAAGCGTGTTTTGACCTGTGGATCAGTACCTTAACCTGTGTTTGAGAATTGCCTTGTACATATTTTGAAACAGTTGCCTGACTTGTTTCAGACCCGAGAAGAAGGAAAAGCCTTGCTGCGGCAAATCCTGCAGCTGCGGAACCAAGGCGAGACTCCTACAGCTGAAATGCCTGCTCCCTTTTTCCTCCCTGCCTCACTGTCTGCTAACAACACTCCCACACGCAGAGTGTCTCCACTCAACTTGTCTTCTGTCACTCCATAGCAGCCTACTTTCAAGACAGCACATTGCTGCACCCATGTTAGGCCATACCTCCATATAAAGAACAGCACATCTGTTGCCCCAAGGACCACAGCGCTTCTCATTTCTACAGATGGAAACAGCTCCTTGGGGAGGTTGTGACCTTCAGAGGCAGACAGAATAATACTGGCAGGCGTACACACTGTTCTGTGTTTTGCCAGTTAGAAGCACCTCTATCTCCCTTCTGTTCAGAGTGTGACTACAGATCTTGCCCCTCCCCTCAACATCCCTTTTACAGCACTTTAGCACCGACGATGCTGCGGGAACAAGGTTTTAATGCTGCTGGGAGTGGGGCAGGAAAGGGAGAGGCCTGCCACTACCCTCTTGGCACTAAGGGCCCTGAAGCCCTAGAAAGGGGTTAGGGCACTAGCCAGAATTAACTTGCATTTGCTGAGCATGACCCCTATTCTGATGTCAGAGATTAGATTTAAATGGAGTGGAGTTAATTTCTTATTCCACAAGACATTCTTCAAAAGTTTTGAAAAAGTCTCCTAAAAGCTTTCAAATCTAAAGTAATGGGTTGAATAAAAAAAAGAGTAGAAAGAAACCCAGTGTGTGAACTGTTGTTGACCTTTTCTGAGGGCAAAGATAGCTTTAGTGTTAGTAATACTCCTACCAAAGCAAAGCTAGGAGCAGGATTACAGATAGTGTCATGTGTATTTGAAAATAACTTCTTTGTGTGGTACTGGGGATTAAACCCAGGTTCTTCACACTGAGCTGCATCTCCAGGCCTTTAAAAAACAATTTTTTTTTACATTTTGAGACAGGATCTCTTCCTTAGTCACCAGATTGCCCAGGTTGGGCACGAACTTGCAATTCTCCTGCTTCAGCTTCCCACAGTGCTGGGATCGGAAGTGTGCACTGCCACCATGTCTAGCCGTGCTAGTCTGTTTTAATAAACACTTGATGTAAGAAGTTTTTCCTGCTTCTGTCTCCAAAAGAATGTTTTTTTTTTTTCAGCCTTAAATTCTAGAGAAGGAAAAAAAGAATCATTCTTGTGGTGCTCTTAGGGGCTTCAGGCCTTTGCATGCATGATCAGTAGCAGATAATGCTTTGGCTGAGCCTGCTGTAGTGTAATAAATTTGTAAATTAGATGCTATGGATCATTCTGAGCTCAGGATTTAGCCTCTTGGCCTCAGAACATTTTTATTACCTATTCACCTCATAATGTATGACAGTTCATGTTATATTAAGAAAAACGTAGGTTATCAATACCACTCGAATTCATTGTTACTGAACCTTCTTAGGCTGGGCAGACACTCATTTCTGTTTCCACTGCCATTTTGTAAAGGTTCCCACGGGCCAGAATGGTGTTTTGAGTCTCAGTTTTTCTGCCTTTTTTATGATTTGTTTTAACAATTTTTTTAAAATTTAGAATTCAAATAAATGTGAACAATAATATTTTTATTTAATATAACTTGTGTGCATAGATATGAGTGAAAAAATACGAGATTATAAAAGTGATTATAATACAAAGGGGGAAAAATAACTAGTATGTGAGTATTTTGTTCTGGATAAAGTTCTAGGTATATGATAAAGCTTAAGAGATTTAGTTATTAAGCTAAGCAGCCGATCCACCTCAGGGCAATGACTGGACTGTCCTTGGCCACAGTTAGTATTTTTTGCTAAAAGGCCCTGATTTGAGTAAAGGAGACCGCCGTGAGCGCAGGATTCGGGTATAAGGGCTGCAGTCTGTTGAGCTTTGACAGGTGGGTGTTCGAGGAAGTAAGTTTCGAAGGAATGGTTTCTTCCCGGGGGGTTGCTGGTTTGGTTGCTGGTTTTCCTGGTTGGTACCCAGGCGTTTTTTGGCAGAAGATTGGCTTTGGAGCTTCAGCACTATATGGTACTGCTCAGCGATGCATGCCGCCTTCTTCCGAAGGTCCAGTTTCACTAGCATCATGTTATTTTGCAGCTCAGCTAGGGTCTGGTCCTAAGGAACATCAGTAAGGTTAGAAAAAACACATTTCTGTCTAGTCCATTAGAGAAACAGGGCAAATTAGTATGTCCCGTCCTCTTCAAAGATCAGCCCTGTGATTAGAGCTCTTAACTGAATAGAGGGTATGTTTCCTTGGAGACGCAAACGTGAGCAGTACTAAATAAGACAGTTTCTAGTGCACCAGGTAGTATGAGGTTGAGTAAGTTAATTTAGCTTCCAGGACCCTTAGTCCCCACAGTTATCAGTGCTGTGACTGGTGATTTACATTTTCCTTCCTTCCTCATTAACTTATTTATTATTGCAGGAGTGGGGATCAAATCCAGGGGCAGTCTAATACTGAGCTACATCCCCAGCCTTTTTTATTTTGAGGGTTCTTGCTAAGTTTTCCAGGCTTGCTTTGAACTTGTGATCATCTTGCCTCAGCTTCCAAAATATATCTTTTTCTTTTAATATTTTAGTGTCTCTGGAATCAGTATCCATGTTAATGAGAAAAGTCTTAGCTTAGGCTTAGCATGGAGGCAGTCATTGTTTTGATCCCCAGCACTGCAAAAAGTAATAGGAAAAAGAAAAGAAGGCTGGGTGTGGTAGTGCATGTATGTTGCCTCAGCACTCTTGAGAGGCAGAGACAGCAGGCTCACAAGATTGAGCCTAGCCGGTCAGACCCTATCTCAGTATTTTAAGAATATACATTATCAATTATATTCTCAAATGTATATTCTCAATTTTGAGAATATAATGAGAAAGGAGGCCAGGGTTACAGCTCAGTGGCACAGCAGCTGCCTGGCAAGCACAAGGTTCTGAGTTGGATTCCCAGTACCAAAAATAAAAAAGGATGGAGAGTAGCTCAGGGTTCAGTCCCTAGTAACTCAAAAAAAGGGGAGGAATGCCATAGCTTGTTCGTATTTTTTTGTCTTTTTGAGACAGAATCTCGCTATGCAGTTGTAGGCCAGGCTGGTCTCAAACTTGGAACGATCCTCCTGCTTCAGCTTCCCTAGTGCTGGGATTACAGGCATGTGCCACCACACCCAGCTAATATTTTTTTCTTAATAGTAAATGTCAGTGTCAACTTAGATGAACTACAATAGTGTCTATCTCTCAACTATTTTAACAGAGCAAATGCCTACAAATTACTTAGTACAGTACCTAGTACTTAATAAATCCTTAATATGTTATTTTATTTTATAAAGTTATGTTGTTTTATAAGGATGAAAAACTGCCCCCAGTAGAAGTTCAGCCTAAACTCTTTACCTTCTGCTCCTCATTTGCCTTCTTTTATATATAATAGAGTGGTCTAGTAGGAGAGGAGGGGTTATTCAGGATGCCCTCACCTGTTTGATTAAGATGTCATCACAAGTAGTCAGAGCCTGACGAAGTTTTCCTGCCCCAGTGCTATGGCAACAGGCCCTTTCTGCTGATTGGAGAGACTCGCCGAGTTTCTGAAGCTCTGCCTGAAGCAGCCTTATATTCTGAAAAAGGAATGGGAATCAGATCTGGTCAGGATCAAGCAGGGTAATGATTGGGAGGGGTTGGGGAGCCTTGTGGAGAAGCACAGTAAAACTACAACAGCTAGTCAGCTGAATAAATGGCCATTCCAGTGATAAAGAGCTTTGGATAATAAAAAGTGCTGTAGGCAAGAACTTCTATAACAAAGTCAATTACCTTCTGGCCCTCTTCTAACTTCTTGTCCACATCAGTGGTGAAGGGCTTGGCTGAGGGTGGTGGTTCCAGCATTTTCTGATACTTCTGTAGCTCTGAGGGAAGGAAACAGATGAGTTTTCTAGCTTTGGACTTACCTATTGCGTTAACAGTAGTTTATAGCAAATATATAATGTAAGGCCATGTACACTGTAGAATAAAAAGTTAGGGGGTGTTGGTAGGAGGAGTAGAGGGAAGTACACTGAGCTTGGATGGGAAGGCCCAGGTGTGAATGATGCTCCTCCCTGAACCACTGTCACACTCCTGCCTTCTCAGTCCTCACCTTCGGTGGTGGAGGTTAGCTCTGCTTTGCACTGCTCCAGTTTATCTTTAACGTCCTGGAGCTGCTGAGTGGAGGCAGAAGTTGCCAACCTTTGTGACCGCCGTAGAGACATTTCTGACGCCGAGTGTTGATGGGGCACGGACTGCTGTCTGGCTTCCTGCAAGAGAGCTTCTAGCTCTTCTATCTTTTCATCCCGCTCCTAAGAGGAAGCAGAGGACACGATTCTGTCCAGGGTCAGAGAAATACTGCAGAAACAGACGACTGAAACAAATGAACTGAACTCTTTCTGACAAACCTAGAAACCCTGTTGGTTAGCACTTATAGTTTCCTAGCCAACTAAACCCTTAATTCACCAAGCAGAGATTGAACACCTAAAAGGGACAGACACAGTGAGTTATAAACTCCGCTCTTGCTCGCCTTTATAAGATCTGTTCATCTCAGGTAATCCACTGATGGAAATCTGAGCAGCTAGTTCACCTCAGGTAATCCACTGATGGAAATCAGGGCAACTCACCTGAATCTCTTCTTGGTAAAAGCTTATCAGTGACTCCCTGAGGATCTTTAGTTTTTCTTCATACATTTCCTCTAGTAGTTCCTTTTGGGTGTCCAAATGTTCACTTTCACAAAGAGGGGAAAGAAAATGATTACGAGGCATGAACTTCAGGGACAGATCTTGAGACACAACTCCATCCCAGCCCCTACTTCCACCCTCTGTTCTAAGGTGACAGGAAGAAAGGGGTTTCTCTGCCAGTACCTGCACCACTGCTCCCGTTGTTGCATCTGCTCCACCATCTCATTGCAAATTTCATCCCGGAGTCGTATCTCCAGCTGCAGCTTTTCCTGTCGTTCTTTCAAAAGCAGTGTTTTCATGGCTTCCACCACCTGTAGGAGCTCCTAGGAGGAACACATGATTGAGTCAGGTTAGAAGATGCCCATGCCCCGAAAAGGCCAAGGCTATTTGGAAGGCAGCATGGAAAATGTGTAGCCACTGAGCTATCACCCAAAGCTTTCTTGTAGTCTCACCTCCTTGGTATACAGGGAAATGTCAGCTTCATTTTCAGTTTGGTCTTCCAGGCCTGGATCTGCCTTACTCCCTTTCTGTACACCAGGGGATGCCTGAAGATTGTGTTCCTTGATGAATGAATGCAGGGATGGGAATCCCAGCTGCACAGGTGGGGCATGCACAAGCTAGAGGGATGAAAAAATCTTAACTGACTCCTTGAATAGTCTGTAACAGCTTTCTAGGGCAGAGTTACCAGCCCAAAGTAGGCACAACCATTCCAACTACAGCTTCTCACCTGGCTGGCAATGGCTGAGAACTTGGCCACGTGAAGAGTTTCATCGTAGGTCGATGCACAGGGATTCACGTTGACAATCATGCAGGAGCGGCCTCGGCCTGTGAAGAAGCCTTGGAATACTCGAGTCAACTTGCTGTCTCGGAAGGGAACCAGGTTCTGCTTTGCTCTGGCACAGAATCAGAGATAATCTGTGAGCACAGCTGTAGCCCTTGGGTATCCCAGCACCATCTCCAGAGGTAACCAGGAAGATATAGCAAATTGCAGAGCCCCAGGCCATCCCAACCCACAGCTTACAGGGAAGCTCACCGGCTCTGCTGGTTTTGGCGCAGGGCAGCAATACATCGGCCCAGGGTGTGCAGGGAAGTGTTAATGTTTCCTGCTTCCTTCAGGCGTTCGCCACTCTTTTGATCTTTGCAGCGCTCTGAGCCAGCCAGATCACAGAGTGACAGCCTACAATGATGTATAGGATCTGACATAAGGACCTCCTCATACAAGCTTTTAGCCCACCTTAGAGTTCTGGAGAGAGTCTCTTCAACACAAGAACAGTTCCCCTGAGGGCCTCCCCTCTGCTCCTAGATTTCTACATAGAAAAACTTACTCGCTGATCTTGGGGACTATGTCCCCTTCCCCCTGAAGGTGCAGGATCCGGATTGAGAAGATGCTGTGGCTAAAAGTCAAGAAAAAGGAAAAGTCATTGCATACCTCC